TTTTTAGAGATTAAAAAAAATGAACTGGGATTGAAGTCAAGTAAATGTGGAAGCGGGACTGAGGGAGTATATTAGGTCCAAGGACATGGAAGGCTGTCGTGGGGCTGAGATTATAAACTCCACTCTCAGAGCCCACAGCAGAGATGCAGTGAGGACTCTGTACTTCCTTAACCCAGGGAACTGGAGATGGTTTAAGCCAGTTGTACCTATTATTAAAGGTCTAAGTGACCTTCAACTGAAATTGGCCTCCATGTATGTGCGTGTGTGCGCTGCTTACCATATGTCTTAGAACATCATGGTGAACCTCTTTTCTTTAAGAAAGCTCTCATAGAAACACACACTATATACGGATGGCATTTAAAAATAAATATATCTTATATACTCCTATGTAGTAAGGGCTATATTTTTGTCACTTTTCTCGAATTATCATGCATCTGCCTTCGGCTTTTATTATCTGATGTGAGGCAAACTCATTTGTCAATAGCACTGAGGAAACACTGGATGGGACGAGGAAGAAGAGAGAAGGTGGTGGTCTGTTTTAATTCTTTAAACTATTATGGCTTCTTTATTACAAAATAAGTTGATTCTTATAAATAATGAAGATCTCATAACCTTGTCAATATGAAGAGTGTAGAGAGAAACCTAGATGCCAAATAGAAGTCCAGTTATGATGAAAATAATATATTTGCTTATGGGCAATATTTATCTTTCATCTTAATTGTAAAAATTTGTGTAGTGAAATGATACATTTCATAGTTTATATATGAAACCCCCTTATGTATGAGAGTGTCACTGATTTTTGAACTATGAATAATCCAATGAGTTTTAAAAATTAAGTGGATTATCTATAATAAAGACAGTCTCACATTAATGGAAACAAGGTGAATACGTATGTATTTTGTTGTATGCCTTACATTAATTAATAAGTTATCTGTTTTTTATAAAAGCACACTGAGCATATAGAGGTATAGAAAGTTTCTGGCATGCCACCTTGTTAACAGTAATTAGCATAAGGTGGTGAACATCTCTATCCCTTCATCAGTTGATGAACATTTGGGCTCTCTCCATATTTTGGCTACTGTTGATAATGCTACAAGGCAGCAAACTTCTGGATGACAATTATTTTTCTTATTTTCCTAATTTTGTTCCAATTTACAGTAGGAGAAAATTGACTATTTGGGTTTTATCTTGGTTATGTTTGTTTTATTTAAGTGTGGCATACAGGAAAATGCCCTGGCATAAGATTTAGATCTGTGATCTTGTCAATGCTAAGCAACTTAGCAGGTCACCCACCTAAACTTTCTGTGCTGCAGCTTAATCTTTTTCAAAATGGGGAATGACCTTCTTAGCTTCCCATGGAAGAAAAGACTGTACCTAGTTTTTTTTTCCTCACCTCTTATAGCCCTATTGCTTAACATAGAACCAGGCTTGAGTTTAATAAGTGCTTGGTGTTCAATACATAATGATCAAATGATAATCATCAAATAATGGATTGTTAATATTACTATATAATTAATAAAAATAATAAATAAAATGGTGATAAAATACATGCTTGGTGTCTAATAAATATTTACTAGATGGTTGAATCAAGGAATGAGGCACGGAAGAGTGTTTTGAATTATTCAACAAGATGTCAAACTAAGGAATAATTATTGTATAGCTAGTATTGAACTTCTCCAGTAACGGGATTGCCAGAAGAATCCCTAAGTGGTCATGCCTTATTGGCAACAGAGGATGAATCAGCTCTTCTCTGTTGGGAGTGTAAGTGTTGATCTGGAAAACTCTAAAGATTTCTCAAATTTCAAGGCTTGAAGGCAGGGCAATTGACTGCTTTTATTATGTGTTTATCATTTAAATATTAGTGTACAAATAATAATGTTCATTTAAAAATTTTATGAGTGTAGGAATAAGGAATAAAAAATAGAATCATTCATAATTCCACCACCCAATGATAAATGCGGTAAAGATTTCTGTGTATCTCTGTAGATGTGTGTGTGCGTGTGCATACATGCAAAGAGAAGGAAGTAGAGAAAGAGAATGAGAGAGAAGAGAGAAGGGAAATATATTTGCATGTATTCACATATAATGTTCTTACTATGAAGACAGAATCACTTCAGCTATACCCCCGTTCATGTTAATTTCTCATCTAATATGTCCTAAGCATCTTTCCATGTAAATACATTTATTTCTATCACATCATCCTTAATGATCACCCCATATGGATATATCTCATTATTACATTGTATTTAACCGATTCTTTTTTATTTTTTTATTTTTTTAGATTTTATTTATTTATTTGAGAGAGAGAATGAGAGAGAGAGAGCACATGAGAGGGGGGAGGGTCAGAGGGAGAAGCAGACTCCCCGCTGAGCAGGGAGCCCGATGCGGGACTCGATCCTGGGACTCCAGGATCATGACCTGAGCCGAAGGCAGTCGCTTAACCAACTGAGCCACCCAGGCGCCCCTTAACCGATTCTTTTTAATAGGTGGTTAATTTATTTCCCATTTCTTGCTGTTATAAGCAGTCTAAGTTGAAAACCTTTGCACATCTATCTGGGCCTTCGATTAACTATCAGACTCTCAAATCCCTTCTTTGCACATATTTCTGTCCTTAGGCAGAGGCTGTTGCCCAGCACTATGGCAATCAGGGAATTCAACAGACCTCGTGGCAGATGGTCTTCTCTGTGTCCATACGTGGGGGTCAAATGATATTTGACTAAACTGAATAGACAATCAAATACAGAATTAGATTGGCTTTTTCCTCTCATCTACTTGATTTACTAGCAATCAATATGGATTAAACAAGTGATTCTCATTTTTTAAGCAGAGTTTGCTTTCCTTATATCTTCCCTCTTTCCTTGCTCTGCATAAAATAGGAAATGGATGTGTAAAATAAATATACTGAATATAAATTATAAATATATTGAATTGTAAATCTGTTAAATATACGACATATTCAATAAAAAGTATAACTAGATTAATTTGTAAATATATATTTCGATTTTAAAAGCTCTTGAAATTTTTCCACCATTTATGGAGCATACATAACCTCTAGTAACTTTCTCAAGGTTACATAGCTAATAGTGGCAGAGCAGAAAATAAAACTCTGGATTCTGAGTCTGTTGTTTTTAAAAGCAACACTACTTATATTGCTATAAAGACAGGAGATAATGACAAAACTGTACTTAGCTTCAGAACCAAGTTCAGTTTTTATTTTGTTTGACAAAAGTACATGAGTATAGCCTTACAATAAGATCTTGCTTAATTACAGATAGCCTTTGATGTCTGCAGTATGTGTGTGAATTCCCTTCGTAGGGGAAAAAGAATTTAGCCACATAAAAGCCTTTGTAGCCTAAAACAATGAGACTTACCATTTAAGGCTGGTTCACATCCATCTTTACTCTGGGATGATTCTTGAGGCAACAATTAACTATGTGGGCCCAGAAACAACCTTGCTGCCAAGAGGGATTAAAGAATTTATGAGTCACTTCTTGTATTCTAAAACAGGTGACAAAGAAATAACGTGATTTTAAATTGAAACCAGTGGTTGAACGGGATCCCCTAGTGGGAAATGGGAGTGGTTGGTGGCTTATACTCTACGCCCTTCAAGAAAACTCTGTGGCCCTGGGATGAGATAACCTCATTCATTTATTTCTCTAATTAAAAGCCAGTACAACTTCTCATGTCCTTTTTTATCTTCACTTTTCAAGTACTAATTAATAGAATTCAACAGTGTCTGAAGCATAAGGCATATTCAATAAATATTTTTGTGATTGAAGAATGAATGAATATGTGAATTTATTGAGTACCACGTATGTTCCAGACATTGTTATATGTGCCGAAAATATAGCGGTGAAAGCAGCACAACAAAAATCCTTCCTCTTATCAAGCTTACTTGCATTCTGGTAAAGAAAAAAAAGGCAACAATAAATAAAAAGTAAAATGTATAGCAAAATGTATAGCATGTGAAATACTGATAAGTGTTTTAAAGAAAAGTAAACCTAGGAAGGTGAAGAAGCGTATATGGAGGGTATGGATGATGTTGAAATTTTAAATAGAGTTGTCAAAAAGGGCACACCTATCCCTAATATTTGCAGGACCTGGAGCAAGATTACCAGTGATATCCACATGATATACAGCTAAATATTCTAAAATTATAAATCAAAAGAACAAACTATTAATTGAAATATATTCCATTCTCTTACTCTGAAACATATCTTCATAATGACAAACTTGAAGATTATATATAAAGTTATGGTTTTTATATGACAGATAATATCAAACATTACTGGATTTAATTATCAATGTGTGTTTTTGTGTTTTGTATTGACCAGCCAGCCATGTTTAAGTGAATGATAGAAATAAAGATATATGTAATTCATAACATTTGATATGTTTATTTCATTAAATTTATTATATTTTTCTTCATTTTGGCAAAATCTCTATGTAAATAATCAAATTTTGACATAATTTTTTAGAGATTTATTTGAGAGAGAGGGAGAGGGGAAAAAGAGAGCACTCACTCAAGCAGGGGTGAGGGGTAGAGGGAGAGGGAGAAAGAGAATCTCAAGTAGACTCCCTGCTGAGACCAGAGCCAGATATAGGGCTCCATCTGACCACCCATGAGATCATAACCTGAGCCAAAATCACGAGTCAGAGGCTAAACTGACTGAGCCATCCAGGCGTCCAAACACAATTTTGTTTTAAGCATCTACAGGATCAAAATTAAATGTAATTGTATTCCAAATAAACAAATTTAAATATTATTTCATCAAAAAAGTAAAGTAAAATAAATGTAAAACCTTTAAAAATAAAATTATTATGCACATGCTTTTAAAAAGATATTTTATTCTAAAATATTAAAAATTATATACTAATTTAACAAGCAAAATACAATTAGAAATCATGAATATTGATTTTACACTGAAATTTATTTAAAGCTGAATTTTAAAAATGTTATTGAATACAGAAGAAAATCTTTTAAAATGTTTTTTTAAAAGTAAAATTCCCTAATTCTAACATTTAATATCTGTCTAGTTTACAGTGAAAACAAGCTTATCACATTTCATATATGTTTCACCTAAAGCCACATACATACAAATTTAAGAACAATGCAAATTCTTTAATATTATGAGTTGTTCAGCAACTACTAAGGGCAAACTTTGTGAGTATTATGCTTATTCATGAGTATCCCAGAGCCCTGTATCAGAACATAAAGAGAAACAAGGAAATGGATTTTCAGCAGTATCAGGAAATGGTATTTCATTAAACAAGACAATATTCCTTCCATGCTATTTGAGAAGAAGGATTTAACAAGTTGATTAAATTATCTTTATCTTTCCCCAATATATTAATCATCTATTAGTACATAACAAATTGCTCAACAACCTAGCTACTCCAAACAGCATTTATAATCTCACAATTTCCGTGGCTCAGGAATCTGGGTGTGGTTTAGCTGGATGCCTGTGGCTCAGGTCTTGCACAAGGTTGGATGATGAAGGTGTTTGTCAGGCTGCATCTCAAGGCTCACAGAGGGGGAAGAATTCCATGCCAAGCATACTTACATGGTTGCTGTTGGCAGGCCTCAGGTGCAATCTGTCTATGAGCCAGAGACATCGGGTCTTGGCTATTTTGCATCTCTCCATAGGGCTGATCACATGTCAGCAGCTTCCTTCAGAGAGACACCCGATAGAAAAATATAGTCTTGTTTTCTTTTTATAATGTAAATTCCAAAGTGACATCCCATCACTTTAGTTCAAGCTTATTTGTTAGAAGTTGGTCTCCAAGTCCAAGCCACATCAAGAGAAAGAAATTCCATAGGAACATCAGTACCAGGCGACTAGGACCTTTCAGGGGCCATTTGGATGCTGTTAATCATACCCAACTTCTTTTAGGCTCCAAACCTCCACACATGCTGAAGCTTATGCAGTTTGGAGGCCCTTTTAAAGTAAAAGAACACAAAATCACAAACACAAATTAGGAACAAAAGTAAATATTTAGAATAAGAAAATAAATTACAACAACCTACAATCTAATCAAATGGGCAGCTATAATAATGACAAAATCTAGAAAAATTAAATATCTTTACTAATTAACTGCTTGACACTGTGTAATACTTTTTCCTTACATTTTTGACAGTAAAATCTTTGATCATTTCTTTTTATGACAGCAATTTTATTATGTATCTTTTTATAGATAGAATATAAAAATAATGTAGTCTTTCATCTAGCCTGGTTGATCAAGATTTATTTTTTACTTTTGATATTTGGAAAAGTTTTTCTCAACTTTATACAACTTTTTATTGGCAAAGTCATCAAATTTGGGACATCAAATTTGAGAAAATATGTCTGAAGTCTCTTCCTTGTATGAGCTGTAAGATTTGGAAGATTTTTCTTTTCTTTTCTTTTTTTTTTTTAAGATTTTATTTATTTATTTGACAGAGAGAGAGAAAGAGAGCACAAGCCGGTGAAGTGGCAGGTAGAGGGAGAAGGAGAAGCAGGCTCCCTGCTGAGCAGGAAGCCCAATGTGGGGCTTGAACTCAGAACCCCGGGATCATGACCTGAGTCGAAGGCAGACACCTAACTGACTGAGCCACCCAGGTGCCCCAAGATTTTTCTTTATATAGACTCATTTCTAGCACTGGACATTTTAAGCCTTGTTTCTGCTCCACAATCTACATATTTCTTGTGCCAGGTGCCACGAGATACCCTCACTTCAAAATACAACCTCCGGAACCTGGGCACCTGTGTGGCACAGCTCTGGGTAAGTTGGCACAGTTGAACTGGGAGTATTTCCAGAAGCCATTCCTACAATGGTACAACTACCAATAAATACACAACCATGTCAGCAAATTATGTAAGTATGAGTTACTAAACATCCTTTTAGTTGGAACCCCAAACTGCTGCCACATGCTATAAGGGACAGTATGATGGAGATGTTGTCAGAGTGGAAAGAGACAGTGGTCTAGTTTTAGTTAAAACAAGCATTTTTAGAGTCATGTTACAAAAACATGACTAAAGACCTGGCCTTTCTGAAACCTTTCCCATCGTTTTGGAAAAGTCTTAAAATTTAAGCTTCACTAGTTTCTTCATAAAACCACCTCAGTTCTTGACAAAAACAAGCCAAGGGGAAAAAGAAATCCATACAGAACAGATCTTTTAATTTTCAGAATTCAATAGAATTGAAGTTAGTCTTGATTTAAAAATGTAGTCACTCTGTGGCCCCCTCTTTCCTTAGGGAAAGAACAAGGATATGGGCCAGCATTTCCCTCCAGCCCTCTCCAGTTTCTAGGATTCTGTGATTCTTTTTCTAGTGCATTTGACATCCTTAGTGCATTCAACTGCTGAGGAAGACTCAAAGTTATCCACTTGAACTTGAACTAGAAGAAGGTTCCCACTGTCAGAAGAACATTGATAGTGAAGGGGAACTGGCTACAGTGCTAAGATCTAAAAAATGCTCATGATGGTGGCTCTGGGAGGGGGTGCCTGTTGGGAAAGCTGGAGCACCCATTCAGACTGGGGCCTCTGACACAGGGAAACTCCTATGTCACAAGTTGGACTTAGTTTTATCTCTAAATCATAGTGAGGCCCAGTTCTTCCTGTTTAATTTTATTTTTATTATTTGTCTCTGTTTAACCTGGTATTAATGGATTATTTCCACTCAGATGGTAACCATGCTCCAAAAACGAAGCCTTAACTATAAGCAATAAAAGAATTCAGCAACAACATCTGTCATCCTTTAATTAGAGTGCCTCTAATAAGACCCAGAAGAAGGAATAATATCACATCTGAACACAATTACATTGTATCTGCATGATTTCCTGCACTTAGCAGTCCTGGGCTTCCTGTTTCTCCATATGTTACAGAAATATAGACAAATCAGAGCATGCCACAAATCTAATCCCTGTTAGATTATAGGAACCAAACCTAAAGATGGGCTTTGGAATTCAATTTTACAAATACTCAGTGGAGGGATTTTTGCTGTTCACAGAGGTTAAAATGTCTCAGTGGAAATTGAAGTAAAGTAATTAGGTATAGGTCAGGGAATTGTTTCAATGTTTTGTAACATGATCATTTTTACTAAGTCCCAGATTAGCCTAAAATGTAGTGAATTTATGTCCAGATTTTTTTTGGAACAGTCCACTTTTCAAATTTACTGTCTTATTCCTCACCCCCGACCCCCTAGGGAGGTTCATGTTTGTCACATCACTGTGACCAAATCTTTGGTTTAGAAAATACAAACATACAAAACTTTGCCAAAAGAGAATGCATTCTTTGCTTCCTGGAATGATTTTCTTAATTGCTAAAGCCGCAAAGATACAAGAAGAAGATAGAAAAGTTGACATAAATTCTGCAAATTAATAAGCAATCCGAATATAACTCTGTGGTATAAGGATACGGCTTCCTCATTAATAGTGAAATTCAGGAACAATCTTTAAATCAGCTTTTATGAAATTCACCATAGTTGAGCCAAATGTGTGAGTAACATTCAGTACAGGTTGATTTCTGCCCCTACTTTTACTGGCAAACAATGGCCCTCTGCCAAAGCATGGTCAACCCACACAGCTGTTTGCAATGATTCATTTCCCTTGATTTCCCAGCTGACCCATTGAGAAGGAGAATAGCAGGTTTCAAGCCCCAGTTGCTAGCCTCGTTGCTGCTAGGAGCCCTCCCCTTCAATTGTGGGAGCATTTTAAAGGCTAAAGTGGGGGACAGTTGTCCTTGGGAACAAAGTTGTTTCCGTGACTAGAGTGTAAGCAGGCGAGAAAGGTCAAGAAAAAAATGAAATGTTGATTTTATGGTGAGATCCTCACCATAGCTCTGAATCATTACGTGCCTACCCCCCCAAGGTTTCTGTCACACCACACCCTGACTTCAGCCCAACATTCCAACCACTCTAGCAGTTTCCAAAATACGGAAAGTTCTTTGAGCCATGGTACCATTTCTATTCCCACTGGCTGGAATGTTCTTCCCTCTTCTTTGTTTGAGAACCTCCTGCTACCTCCAAGATGCAACCCAAGTATTATAGTCTCTTGAAACTTCTTGTAAACCTTCTAAGGTAGCTTAAATCCTACATTTTTTAATGGGGAGATGTTGCCCACGACGGGGTGAAAATTTGTTCTCGGTAGGCAAAGGACTCCTACTATCTTTATATATAAAGCCCAGATATACATATAGTACATAAACAGACATACAATTTATCTGTGGTATGAGATTTTCATTTTGGGAATGCATTAGAAAAAAATAACTAAAAAGACTCCTTAAGTGGGCATTAATGAAAAAAATTTTGAGAAACTCTGGGTTACATGCTCCTTTATCTCCCTTGTACATACTTTTTAGCCTAAATCTTTGATTTTGGATTGTTTGCTACTCATCGTTACTGCAGCAGAACCTGACTGATACCCCTTTTTAAAGGCCTCTCTCCTCCCACCCAGTCATGGTCATAATGTTCTTGAGAGCCGGGACACGACCCTGTGTACCACTGCCCTTCAGAACCAGGCGCAGGGCTGGAATGTAGCAGATGCTGAGGACACTGTTCATTCAACAGTTGTGTCAAGATCATGGCTTCTCAGTCCTGCTCACAACCCACTGTGCTCTAGAAAGGAAGTTTCAATCCCTCTATCAGCAACAGCCAAAGAAGTGGTGACTGAAAGTTGAACTTACAGTGTGGATGTGTCCTGTTCAAACATCCAACATGTGCTTTGGCTCAGCCATTGTTTGACATGCTCTATTTATGAAAGTGATGGCGTACCCCAGGTAACCAATGTCTCTGTCAAAACATTTCCATTGCAACATCAGTTGAATCAGAAGTACTGGGTACCAGTTTGCTGCCATATTTGCAGCTTTATATCATGACACAGATCCCTATGACTGCTTTAAATTACTTAAAAGTCAGTATTGGGAAGTCTCCTTACAATGATTTGTGCATATTATTCTTTTATTTTATATAATTCTTTTATCAATATCCTACATTAAAATGATGAAGAAGATAGTGATGGAGAATAGCTAACTCTATGCAGCACATACTATGTTCCATTCATTTTGCTAGGTTATTTTCCATCCATAGACTCATTTAACTTTCCCATAGTTCTATGAGACCTGTATTACTCTTTCCTGATTTACAGATGAGGAAATTGATGATTAAGGCAATTAAACAATTAGCCCAAGGACTCACAGCTAGAAGTGGGAAAGCTAGAATTCAAATCCAGGAAAATCAGACTCCAGAGCCTAAGTTTTTAAAACACTATGTTAATTAAAAAAAAAAAAATCTGTCTCAAAAATATATGAAGGAAATTCTACATTCTTAAAGCATCTAAATAATGGTGATGATGATTGTTGTTAACAAGATTAAATACACGGACAGGGCATTTCAATTTGCAAAGGAGGATGAAATCTTGGCTTGGGATATGGGCATAACATTCCAGTTATAGGTCTATCTATGGAAAATTGCCTGTCCCCAGAGGAAGGAGTTGACACAGATTCTAAGGAAGATATTGAGATACTTTGGAGAATTTGCATAATCAAATTTGTTGTTAGCTATCATTTATAGAAAAGTATGAGTGTGTGTATAAGGGGGAGGGGTTGGTGAAAGAAGACAGAGGGAAGGAAGAGGGAATAAAAAAGCTAGAAGACCAAGTTCTAGTTCTTTGCTTTGAAGAGTCCCCCCAACCCTCCTCCACTCCAGGTTCTTGTGTGCAGGAATTTTTTTCAAAGAAGTTGGCATAACAATAGAACATCAGGTCCTAAAAAAATAAAAATAAAAAGAACAACCCACATGTGGAAAGTGAGTGCATGGCTCAGAGACAGTGAAATAAAAACAGATCTTTCCCCTTTCTAGAAGACCTCACCTTTTCCCTGCGGCAGCATTTCATTTGGCCCTTTTGAAAGATTCAGCCACATTTTGTAGCATTTCAAAATGCTACAAATCAGAGTGATATTCCTTAAACTTACATGGAATTAATTTTTTTTTATGAATGGCCTTAAAACAGAGGGGAAGGGTGATAAGAGCAAAATAGAATTCAACTCTTTAGCTAAGAAAGTTCTCCCAAATGAAATTTCAGATTTTATTTTTATCCTGAAAAGTCCTACTCTCCAAGAAGCCCCTTTGTGAGCAAAAACTTTTCCTAAGGCTTATCACTAAGGTTGGTTTACTCCTACTCATCAGCTCTTTTGTTACTGGAAAAAAACACAGCCTAGGTGAAGGGCGGGTCTCTGGAGTAAGACACGCCACCGCTGTGTTCTCAGGCAGATGACTTCCCTTCTCTGACCCTCAGTGTCCACACCTACCAAATCAGGTAATAATATTTACTTCTCATGATGAGGAGTTGAATGAGGAAGCATATATAAAGGTTCAGCTCAGTGTTTTCTCCCGTTCCTTCTTCTATTGTAAAATGACTGAATATTGGTTCGCTGTCGTTTCTCTAAGATTTTCTCCAACTTTATAGTTCTATGGTAGTTGAGTCACATTGTCAGAAATGTGTTTTATACTCAATTGGCTTTCCTGGTTGAGTTTGTGTAAAATCGTCATGGGTAATGAGAGAACGGGGCAAGTAGGAAAGATGGCAAGGGGGAAATATGCGGTGTGGTCTCATGTGCGTAGCTGACTTCTGCTGCTTGTGGTCTGAATTAAGGAAAGCTGCATGGTCACCCTTGGCACAGAAACTTTTAAAGTCACTCTTTACCTTCTAGCTAAACAGATGTTTCTCAAGAATGCCAGTTGGAAAGGATGATGGAAAGCTATGAGGGACACAGAAAAAAAGATACTGAGGGTTATAGAGAAAAAAAGGATCATTGCATTAAACTATTTGTTTAATCGGTGAGCACTTTATCAAATATACCATGTACATTACATTGTGCAATCTTTTCAATAACATAGGATGGAAACATTTAACCCCTTTTGCAGATGAGAAAACTGAGACCCCAAGATATTAAGTTTAGTCAGCTAGTAAACACTTAGCCCAGGATTCCAACCCAGTGTGGGGGTCCAAATGCTGCCCATTTTACAAGCTGAATGCCAATGATATATGAACCAGGATGTATAATTTAAATCATTTTAAGCAAATATAGGGAATGTGTTCATTTCATAAGCAAGTCATGGGAAGGAGTAGGAAGAACTGGCTCTATTGGATATACACACTGTTGGGTTGCCCTATGCCTTCCTCGGCCATCCTTCCACGCGCACTCCCACCTTCCACCTGCTCTCACTTCCACCTCTTGTCTATTTCTCAGGGAATGTTAATTTCTTCTCTTGCATAATCTTTTCCCAGGTCTGAATCCCTTGCTACAAGCAGATTCAGTGTTGTATCTTACAACCACATGTCAAGGGAAATAGAAGTCTCCTCTGCCTTCTTGAACACAAACTATTTAGGAAAGAACCCTTATTGTTTTGGTTCAGTTCCACATCCATGTCTGAAACAATAGGAGTGGAGATGGTTACAATGACTAGGTCACGTACCTACACACGTGGTCAGGGGTCTGCAGCTTGGGAATTGGAAACTCCTTGCAGAATCACGACCTTGGAGGAGAAGCAGCTACCTAAAAAAGGAAAGGAATTGTTTGGGCCAGATAAAACAACAAATGACCACTCTCTAGGTAAGGAAACACCTCAGACTTTGGAGGTGGGTAGAAGTAAGTTTTAACTCCATCCCGCTTCTTCCTGAATGTATGACATTGAACATTAGTTATAGTGGTAAGTGAGATACGAAGAAACAAATCCAAGAACTGTCAGTGCTACATGACTAATTGCTAGATGAAAGAATGATAAAGTGCTAAGTAAATGCAGGTCCTCATCTCAACATAACCTTGATCTGTAAAGTAAAATTTTCCTTATCAGGGTTTATGATTTTAGAACTACCCTCCCTCCAACCCCGCACTGTGGCCATTTCCCCCAGACACTGTGTTAAAATAGATTGTAAGCTCCTAGAAAGCAAGCATGGTATTTTCTGCATCTTTTGTGTTCTCAGAACACCTGGCAAAGGGCTAGGCATAGCCCTGTGTTAATAGCACTTTTTAAAGAAGTACTTTTTAACTTAGGTCATTGAAAAGATTTACAGACTTACCACATTAGGAGTCCATACTCAACTTGAGCACTGCTTGTGCTCCAGATGTTCTAGGTCCTGGGTGAAAAAGCATTTCTGAGAATAGGCAGTCAGAGTGTTAATACTCACTTTTATCTAAAATGTGCAAATGAGTGACATTTTATCAATTTTTCTGGCCTAAAGTTGCAAGGTTATGTTAAATCGTTTTCATATTCGATAATAGTGTTGCCTTGAAAATGAGGAATATTATGGATGTTAAGCCCTTGCAACGTGCTCTGCATTATGAATTCCCAATATTTAATTCTGTTCTCATGATCATTTTTCATACATTTCCATGTATTAATTACGTTCACACTGATGTTCTGAAATCACCTTAGCCAAGCTCATTATATACTTTGATGGAAAAGCACTTAAATCTAAATGACAATTTACATTTACCTTTCTAAAATAGATTTGTAATGATGTTAAAGACTTTCCCCTAAATAGGCGCTGATTTTGAAATTCTAATTGAATTTTATATTTTGTCCCACGAAAAATAAGCACAGCATTATTTTGGCTGAAATTACTGGGTGTCTTGCCCAATTATTCATGGCTTTGAAACACGAGTTGCTATTTCTTGTCCTTTTGTCATGGGGTTGAAAACTTTCTTCCACAAATACCCTGACCTGTGGGTGAATACCGAAGAGACAAAGGCCATCTGAGGATACCTAAGGCTCATCTGTATTGTGTGTGGAGAAAGTTCAAGTGCTGAAGGTGCTCGAACATTAATTTGGATGTCAACATTTATTTTGTATGGTAATGGAAGGCATGAATCTGCTAACTTGCGTTGCTGATCATGCTCCAGTTGGCCTGAGTCCCTTTTCTTCTGATTACTTTTAAGTAAAGCCTTTGGAGAGCATTCCGTTATTCTAGAATACAGCCTAAATTGCTAAAGGTTGCCCGGAAGGATTTTAGCCTCCCCCTAACTCCAGGGCCTCATCATGCCTGTCCACTCTCGCCACGCCCAGCCACGCCCAGCCACGCCCAGCCACGCCCCAGCCACGCCCCAGCCACACTCCAGCCACGCCCTCCTTCAGTTGCTCTGATGAATGCACCATGCTTCCCACTACTTCATAAAATGTGTTCCTCTATCTATTCCTCCTCCCTTCAGTGTTCTCCCCTTGCTCTCCCTTACCTAACTCTCACCAGCTCATAAGTTCGTGCTTAAATAGTATTTCCTCCGGACCTCCCAGACCATATGAGAATTTTCAAAGAGCCAGTGCTTTAGGTTTAAATTTCTAAACTTAACCATTGTTTCCTTAGTAATGGACAGTTTTGTCTTAAGACTAGCGGGAACCGAGAAGAAAGAGCAGAAGAGCAGGGGAATGTGGATTCCTTAAATGCTTTTTGTGTCCTTTTCCCAGTTCTAGTTTCCCAGAGAACAAAGTCAAGGGAATAGGAACTGAAAAGGCAAAAGCTCGAAGGTTGGATCCTGCCACAGATAAGCCAACAAATCCAACAGCTTTCTTGGGCTATTCTGTGAGTGAGATGAACAAGGTGCTCAGGAACGCACAGCGGGGAAGTGGTCCATGAAAGGCCTCCATCCGGGCAAATGATCAGTCCCGCCTGTCTGTGGGGTCTCCCCAGGCAGCTCTGAGCACTGGGCTCCTTACTGTCAGCAATGTTGCCTCTAGGGACACTCTCAGTCCTACTTCCACTTAACATTTTTAGCCAATGTCCTTGTCTGTCTTTAAATAGTTTACAGAAGTTAAGAGTGTGTATGCATGTGTGTGTATATTCTGATGACTACAAACATATTTCGACTTTATAATTTTCATATACAGTATTCCATATTCACAAATGACATTTTCCTACTGCTTCTGAAACATAACTGGTGATATCCCCAGAGCCCTGTGAGTAGATAAGAGAGGAGAGGAGACCTCTGCTGTGTGGAAGACTGACCTCAAGCTACAATTTCCTATCTAACATATATCCCATACTTTCCTTATTGGCAGGGCCCAGGCAATTAATTATTTTTTAAAATTATTTGATGTCTCCTCCCAATAGTCTCTATACTTTATAAGGTTTGGTACTGTCTTTCTTGCCCATTGCTTGAAGAAAATTCAGTTCATTCATTGAACATAGCAGATAGTTGGTAAATATTTACCAAATGAGCAAATGAGAGACTCAGGTGGGGAGAGGGGAAGGAGACAACAAAGCAAATTCTAATTTTGTGTTTCCATGCTAACTCTGGGCCTCAACGTTATGTGCTCCTGAAAGGCCTCCTACTTTCTTCTCTTGCTCGTCATCCTCGAGTGTGAACTTTAATTCCCTTATCATGTATTTATTTAAATGCTCTATAACTGAAGGAAAAAGTCACTCATTTTAGTGACCATGGAGGAACCACTTTAAATTGTTCCAAGTTTTCACATTTGGTTAAATCTTACTGAAACCTGTGGGGATACATGATCTTTTAGAGTAAGTTCTAAAATCTTTGTTGTTGATGTTGTGTTCACATCCAGGCGAGAAAAGATGAGTGTGAGCAGTCATTATTCTATTTGCATATAGTGAAAGAGTCATTCCATATATATTTCAAATAACACAGTGGTCAGGTGCTTCTTTGAAATGCAGAGTAAAGAGTAAATAATGTCTTGGACTAGAAAAATTATTTGTAGTGATACATATGACTATGGAGATTCACTTATGAGACCCCAGACTGCACAACTGGGCTTCCTTTCGAGATGAGGAAAAGAAAAGCATGGATTGAGCAAACAGCAAATTACAGCAGACTTCTGATTAGCTGGAGACAAAGAATAATGTTATATCACTGGGCTCATTCTGAGTTAAGCTAGCCTGAAACTTCTATGGTCAGTTAAAAACGTAAGAATGAGTTGCCAAGAAATATTCTAATAGAGGTCTAAAAATTAAGCAGAAGAGATGGGTGATCTGTGTGAGGGGCAGTGTTTGTTCTAGTTGACTGCTGCGTATCAGAAGAAGTGCTCCGTGTGAGTGGACAAGGAAGGATCCAGACAGGGGCCAAGCAAGAACTGCGGGTCAGCTCCCACTCTCCCCCTTGGGCAGGCACCTTTGTGCAGTGCCCAAAACATACAACCATAAGCTGCAGCCCTGCTTCCAGTTTTAGCGAGATATGAAATAAAGGGACAGAGTTTGATGGGAAAGATCCTTGTTGTATCTTGATACTTTCTTGACACATTTATTTTCTTTTAATTAGCATGAGAAGCACTTTAACAGAATGAACAAAGACTCGGGCTTTGACATGAGAGAGAACTACAGGATAAATCCCGAGTTTATCACCCACGAGTTCAGTGACCTTCTGCTCTCCTCTCTGAGCCTGGATCACTTCAACTACAATATTGAAAGGATAGTGTCTTCATTAGTAATTTGTTTAAGGACTAAATAAAGTGAGGTCTGTATGGTGCCTAGAACATTCTTTGGTATATAGTAGGTGCTCCATAAATCATGTTGCTGCTCTATTATTTAGGGTTTTGTTTTTGTGTTTTGTTTTTTGTTTTTAGGGTAGGATTTCATCAGGAGCCTTGTTTAAAGGAAGGATGCTTATCTTGATCTGAGTAAAACCACACAGATTGTCTTGTTCCATGAAACTATAACAATTGCTGGCAATATATCAACATGTCAAATTAATTAAATGAAAACATTTTCTTGAATATTTAACTATGAACAAATAATAATGACAATTGAATGAATTGGAGCTCTTGGCTGATCTCTGACAATACCAAAAGATATAACAAATTGTCCTTATTCATGAAGCGACCTGAATACCAATGGATCATAAAAATACAAAATATGCTCATTCTAGGAAAGGATATAGACTATGACCATAGTCTATATATGAGATGTCTGCCTGACTTACACAACTGAGCCAGTATGATGACTGCTTTTATTTAAAAATGTATATCATAAAAATAAATAAATAAATATAAAAATGTATTTCATCATATCCTCATTTTTTCCCATGACTTGAAGAAGTTTGTTTCTCACATACACACACACACACACACACACACTGCTTCTGTGAAGATAGCAGAGCAAGCAGAATGCAGAGGTGAGGGGGTGTGGGGCTGGTACTTTATATTTCAGTCCTAGCTTCGCAAGCAGTTATTTTGCACATAGATTTCAAAAAATAATTACATTAATCAAAACTCTATTTATTCTTCTGCATCAGTATTGATTTCACCTACACTCACCAAATTTATATTCTGCCTCTTTAATTGCCTGCCTTTACTGCTTCTCACTTCCTTGGGCTAAGGGGCACCTATGGATCTGCATAACACAGATATGCTCAGCTCAGCTGCGCCTTCTCCTCTGAAATAAGATGTCTCTGAAACTCAGATACAAAGAAGCAGGAATTAGGTTCATTTTTTTTCCTACCTTTGTTTCTCATCAGACCACCTCCTGACATTCTTTAGTTTACCTTAGTGTTTTATTTACATTTGCTGGATAAGCAAGTGATGACTGCATTCTATTTAGTGCTCTGAA